TTCGGAATCTCTGAACATTAAAATAATGAAATGAATTTTTTTGCCCATTATAGCTTTGTAGTTTTATTTTAAATTTATGGAACTTTTACCTTTATTTCTGATATACCTTTATTTCTGATATAGTTTTATTTTAAATTTATGGAACTTTTACCTTTATTTCTGATATTTATCAAAAGAATAGCAATATATTGTGTCTGTATGGAGTTCTTTTTTGCGCATTTGTTATTGTTTTAGAAAATACAGAAGAAACAAAGTACGTAACGGAATTCGGAAAAGAAATCAATATTTTATACATAGGAGAAGTAACATGGCCTAGCAATATCATATATCTTCGTTTTCGAAAAGAAAGGGCATTTGAATATTTTGTTCCTAAATTTAGGTTTTAATACTATATAGATACATAAATCCCGAACACACGCAACCACATTTGTATATAAATATTTTGCTCACTATGAGTCGAAAACTGCTTATAATTTATCATTCTGATATACTTCACTTGCAATTAGTGATTGCAATACTGGATCGAAATTACATTACTACAATCGGTACTTTTTTAAACTTTGTACAAGAATAACAGTATTAGGAATTTTTGAGAAAAGTACAAAAACACAGTTTTTTTAGATATTTATTACGAGTAGTTTTACATAAATGCATGAATTATAAAATAATAACCAATTTTGTTAAAAATAAAGGAATAAATGTCATAATCAAATATTATTAATAAGAGTAGTAAAATAATAATTTAAATCAGAAACAAAAAATATAATATAAAAAATAAACCGTTACAGATGTTGTTATATTGTTCATGTGCTTTATGGAAGAATGGTTGCCAGAGTCTCAAGGAGGTTGGCCTTCTACTTCCACCTCAGTTTTGAAGGAGAACACCCTCGAGAATGGTCCGAGGGTCTCCCACTCTTCTTCCCTACCACCTAATCACACGAGAAGGCTTTGAGCTTACATATTGTTACGAAATGTGCAGGCGCGGTAAGATGGCTTCCCCGCAAAGCAGTTTTAGGGTTGCCATAAAAATGGCAAGGGAAGGCAGGATTGCCACATTTGGCGACAAAATTGGTGATATACCATGACGGTTGGAGAACCTTCTGGAACGAATTTTTACCGGTTTAGGTCAGAATGTTCCCAAACACAAGCCGAAAGCTATATAAACCCTGCTGGTCCGCAGACAGTTAGTGTGTGCCTCGTCGAGGGAGCTAGTCAGTGTGTGTGCCTCGCATAGAGTGCGAGAGAGTAGGTATCGAGTTGGTGTGTCATTTAGCGTGTCAATCCCTGCGGAGTCGATCGAGTTGACAGCCGGGCAGGGAGTGCCGAGTGGGGTCGTCGAGTGCACCGAAGGAGTCTGTTAATGTATCGCGGTTAGGGCATCGTCGAGAGAGCGTGTTGAGCTCCGGGAACGACTGAACCAAAGAGTCTGAGCTGTGCTCGTGTGTCGTCGAGTGCATCGCGAGTTGTAGCGTGGAGAGTCTCGAGAGTACGTGTAGCTCCAAGAACGACCAAGCAGAGTCGGGAGCTGTACTCATGAAAGCAGAGTCGGGAGCTTTGCAGGAAGCTGTCTCCACCGTGATAGCCTGATAACATGAAGGCTGTGTCGCTGATCGTGTCAGTGTGTTTAAAGTAGTTCATCGACGACTGTAAAACGTGTTTTGGAGCTGTCCTGACAATACTGGCTAATAAAGTGTATTTCGATACTTCGTCAAGTGTCGTCGTTATTCACTCCAAATCTACGAATCCCGTACGAACGTGAAGGAAAATAACGTAACAACTGGTGTCAGCAGAAGAAAAGAAAAACGTAACAATATATTTAGACGTCCCCCACGCCGCAAAGCACTACATGTCTACTAACTTTAATGCCTGTCAGGGATTCGAACCCGAGCTCTTCGTTACCGCAGTAGGCTTCCCGAACCCGTATACCGTCTGGGCGGCAACTATTGTAGGATTACAACAGAACAAAGGAGCAAAATATGTATCATTACTATTAGGAAGAGTAAGCATTGCATGTTGTGTAAGTAAGCATCGCATAATATCTATTGATACAAAAAAAGAACAATTTATTAATTGCATAATTTTGAAATGTGATCATAAAAAAGCGCAATAATGAATTTATCGAACGGTCATTAACGTATTTTTATTTATTTTTTTTTTAATTACCTGTAGTAATGCTCTTTCTGCTTCCACACTGGTTGGTGGCACTGTTAATAATGGGCGATATACTTCCTCTAAACATTTTCAAGTCCTACATCTTCTATCAACTCGGTCTCTCGTCTGACGGTTTTGAACAAATCTATTTATTATATTATTTTGCATCATTTTTTGCGACAATTTTTTTATCTATAGCTAATTGTAATTTCTTCTCCATAGACAATTCTTTTCCGCTATTAATATTATGTTCAACGAATTCTCCTAGAGTCTGCATTTTATACATATTGTGTAGAGACACTAGACTATTATAGATGAAAAATTAGCAACGCCCTCGCCGGGAATCAACCCACGGATCTGGATAACTTCCCAGCGTGCACCACGAAGGCACGCCAAGAAGGTGCGATAAATACCTTATATACTCCCCCTTTTAAAGACCTACTTTGGTTTTTAGGGGACCCAAACGCCAAATCTGGGTACGGAGAATCATCCAACAGCCCTTTTAGTTCGGGGGCCACTGTAGAGACACTAGGCTATTTTGAGCCCGGAGAGATGAAAAATTAGCAACGCCCTCGCCGGGAATCGAACCACGCACTTCTGGATAAAGGTTCAGCGTGCAGAACCACTACACCATGAAGGCACGCCAAGAAGTTGGGAGAAATACCTGATAGTTGTTCTGAAAATTTACAACGAATTTAATTAAATTTGATCTCGTTAGCATCTTTTCTTCCTTTACATTTTCTTTTTTAAAGTCGTTCTAATTACATAAACACCTTAAAATATATACTTTTCTGCAATGTAAATACCTTTCCTAGTTCACTATGCCTTTCCTGTATGTGAACCTTTAATGCAGTGTATCATCCCTCAAATAGTCCGATCTTTAAGTGATTGTAACATAAAATTATTTTTGAATTCGCTTTTAATACCTTCGAATCATTCCGACATAATAGCTCCACAGCCAGACTGGCTGGTAGAAAAAAATATCGTGATGTGAGCTTAGGTTTCATGTATGTTTCATACTTGATCCTGATATTACGCAAAGAGAGCAGATAAGGAAAGAAAGTGGGACAGCAAATGCTGGCACTGCATTGATGAAAAAAAAAAAAAAAAATCCATTGACTATATTGACGTCTTTGCACGGCCTGTTAAATTTTGCATATCATTTTGCTGCACACTTCATTTAAACTTATTCCTTCCGTTTATTCTAATTTTATCAACCGATTCCTGAAGTCAAGTTGAAAATGAAATCAAAAACTACAAATTTTGAAATTAAGTATAGTTATAATTTTTTTTGACGTACGAAAGTCAAACTTCTTTATTTTTATTTTTCCATAACGAGTATGAAACAATACTAAACATAAGTATAGGAACCGGGAGAAGATTCAAAAGTTCAGTTTCATTGTGTCTCCAAAATTAACATCTTTTTTTTAAATTTGACATTGCCCAAACTTGAATATTTTCGTTATTTAAACCACTTCTGGAAGTATACATCTATTACCAATGATTGCGAAATTTTAAGGCCGGGTAAAGTCTATGAAGCCAGTTAAGGATGGATGGATATATATATAAGGAGGTACACAGTTGGATGTTATAGCAGTTCTATATACAAAATTTCAATTTCAACTTTCTTCAATCATCTCTGAGTTCTGCGAGATACATAAATACATACATGCGTACACGTCTTTACGGACGGACGTCATAAAGAAATTCATTTTGAATCCATTAAATCCATTATGCAATTCGTTGGAGGAAAAAGAATCCTTTCTTATCTCCGTACATACAAATAACGTGCAAAAAATTGTCCAGAAGGATTCGGGTGTGGTCAAAACGGATATATCAGTTGAAATATGATTATTAATTTTTTCGCGATTACAATAATTCCTTTGCTTCATACAAAGAAGTAAAAATACATATTTCAAATAACAGAAGATACCGTATATCAAATTAAATGTCAAATTAAATCTTTTAGAAATATTTATTATTTATAGCTAATACCATAAATATCAGTATTTTGCTATAGCAAATACCGGTTACACGAAATTGCAACTAGCACGAAATACCCACCTTCGGTATACCAGAGTACTCGTATTGCAATCACTCCTTACTACATATCTTTATGAAGAGGGTGGGGAGACTTTTCTTGTAAAAAAAGTGTGATTACGGTCAACACTGCCTTGAATATTATTTTAATCGTTCAGAAATGTTTTCCCGATTTTTGAATGCTTAGACAGTGAAATGGCTAAAGAAGAGAGGGATGCTATGTAAAGAAATAGAAACAACTACATTTACCGCAATAATATAAAAAGGGGCCTCTTGAACTATAAAGAGTTAAAGTATTCGAATAATTTTACTGATGCAGGTTTTATTTATTGTGCCTATTATTGTTTTGAAAGTTACCCTGTTATTAAACGAAAAATAATATATTTGAAACTTGAATGTCATCAAGGTCATATTTAAAATTATTTCTCTTCGTAGCTCCTGGTAAGGTACATGTTGAAGTGTGTAATTGAAAAATAATATATTTGAAACGTGAAAGGTCAACAAGTTTTATAAAATTTATTTCTCCTTGTAGCTCCTGTGCGGCACCCATTAAAGCGTGTAATTATAAAATAATATATTCGAAACTTGAAAGTCACCAAGTTTTATTTATTGTAGTTCCTGGTGCGGCACCTGGTAAAGTGCGTAACTGAAAAATAATATATTTGAAACTTGAAAGTCAACAAGTTTTATTAAAATTTATTTCTCTTTATAGCTCCTGGGCGACACCTATTAAAGTGTGTAATTAAAAATTAATATATCTAAAATTTTAAGGTCACAAAATTTTACTTAAAATTTATTTCTCTTTATAGCTCCCGGTGCGGCACCTGTTAAAGTGCGAGCTCAAGCCACGAGTTCTCAGTCCATAAAAGTGAGCTGGAGGGTGAGTTGAGATAATTTTATTTTGCAATATTTCCTAACTTACAGTATAAAGACTATTAACAAATGTCTTCAAATATATACCCGTAATTAATCGTACAAAATATATTTTTCTGTTTAATTCAATATTCGAAATGAAGAACTTACAAGAAGGGCACATAAAATGTTGTGAAAATAAAATTAGCATTAAATTAATTAATTAGAGCATTAAAGATTTCTTATACATGCAATGGACGAATATGGAAGGCCTAATAAGATATTTAACATTTGCATTTATTTATATGAGAAAATGTGACAGGCTAATAAAGCATCTGTGTAGGATATGACCGTTCCAGAGAATGCATAATATGTGGATATGACTTCAAGTCAAAGAGGAGAACTGGGACATTCAATCTGACAAAGTAACAATTTTAGTACAATGAAATAACTAAGAATTTAATACCTAATGCATATTCTTATGACGTAAATGGAAGAGACTGATTTAGTAGCCTAAATCTTTTTAACGAATCCTTTTTTTCAAAAAAGATTGAAAGAATTCTGTTCTATCAAAAGAATTCTAGAATCGCTTATTCTTCTAATACTCATGCTAACTTATTTAAATAAACAGAAAAAAGCAAACTCAATATTACTTATATTTAAAATCTCCTTTAATCTAATCTTTGTATTTATTTTAATTTTAAGGTCGTGTGCTTTTCAAAAAGGAAGCTATGGAAAATTAGCAAAAATATCATGAGACTGTTATGAGACATGATATCATATTACAATGCTGCTAGAGATGAAAACTAGAAAACTACAATACTTTTAAATTTTTCGTATTCTTAGAAACATCTGCCATAATTCGGTAGGAACATATTAAGCGGTATAAACATACGTATTGCCACACTCTTGGCCTTAAATTGTAAATAAACCAGCATTTCTGTAAGCCATGTCAATATAACTAGACATTAAATGAAAATGATATTAATAACAAAAGCTTTAAAAATTCCTTTGTTTATAAGACGCAATAAAATTGGAAATATTAGAGTTATGGCTAATTTTACATTATGCAGATACGATTGTAGCTCATCTACTATTCGATAATCGTAGCTGCGATATATACGTATTTTGACGCATAGAAACACAAACATTATGGCATGATAACTTGAGAAGACCTTTACTGCAAACGTCATCGGAATAGCAAAAGTCATCAGAGTAGCAATTAAAGGTGAACTACCACGATATGCAGTTGACCTCGTGCACTGAAGTTACGAGACAGCTTCCCAGTAGCTGCTAGTTCTCATTCACAGTAATCGTTCATTCATCATGCCTGCATGTCGTGAGAGTTTTACCGTGAGAGTTGAATTTTCTATCAGAAAAGTTTTCCAGGAATATTCTATTGATGACGTTTCGACAAATAAGAAATTTCTAGCTGTTTGCAATTAAATTGTATAGTTTTTGTGAGCTGTTGTAAACTCAAGCAAGTTTTAGTTCATGAAATCAAAAAATTGCAAAGCAGGTAAATAGAAAATGTTCCTGAAAAGACAGTCCATCGCAACCTCCCGTCTATGGGATTGCTTAGCCCAAGATTCTCATTTACGCCATTCTGTTGACATTGGCTCGACGTTCAACAAATGTAATATGCACAAAGATACCTGTATCAAACGGCAGAATAGTGAAGTTTCGTAGTTCGGTCAAGTAAATCAAGGATTGAAGTGCGTCGCGCTGACTGACGCCAATAGAGCCGCGGTTTTCAACCCTAAGCCCTCGGGCACCATTGAGTAAACCAGCGGTTTTACGTGTGCCTGTTGCTGTGCAACCAAAATAAAATACTAAATATATTTTGTTTATATTTAGTCATTAATTTGAGAAATATAAACATATTTGTTTATAATTATATGTTTATAATTTTAATTAGGCTTAGCAGATTTCCCCATTTGATCGGGATTGTCCCAGTCTGAAAGTATGGTCCAGTGTCGCTACGAATTCGTCATTTTGACCCTGTTGTTTGTTAATTTAAATATGTCAAACAGCATTGTTTTTAGCAATGAATATCACAAAATCAGAATGCAGATCTCGACTTGCGCGTGAATATTTTGATGACTGCTTACGAGTAGTAATATCATCATACTCTCCTAATTATGAAGCAGTGGCCTATGAAATGCTATGCCAGAAATCACAATAGCTTTACGATTAAATTTTTACAAAGAATTTTTATACCAACGCATTGTAAACCAAAGAATTTGTAAATTTTTTTCTGTACTATTTAGTAAATATTTATTTAACATAAGAACACAATCAATAATTTTTATATCTTAGAATTATGTGTTTGAAATTATTATTTTTTGCATAGTATGTATATTATTAATCATGCAAACCTAAATATTTATCTTCAAAGAGTAAATGTGACCGCCTTGCTACCGATATTCTAGAATGTGCTATAAGATATAAAAAGGCTGGGATCCTTTCATTAAAAGGTGGAATAGGTTTGATGATGTCACGGGTTCTGCGTACACGCGAAGCATTCTTCAGAATGACATAGAATTCAGACAGGCGCATTGACATAGAGCATACTCTTATTAGGCGTAAAGCATTAGATCATTGTAACTATTCACGGGCATGTAGTTATAAGGCATTTTATGTTAATTAATCAATTTTATGAAAATCTGGATATGTATTACTATTTTTCCTCTTCGTTAGCACTAGGATGCAAATGAAGCAAGAATATGAAGGAACTAGGCGAGGGTTTTGAATGTTCTGATTTAAGAGAGATTTTGGCAGCACACTCGCAGCTTTACTTTCTACTGCTCAGCTCTGCCAGTTTTTTTTTTTTTTTTTTTTTTTTTTTTTTTTTTTTTTTTTTTTTTGACATTAATCATTTGCTAGCCGAAGTTAAAATGTGCCTTTAAAGTTTGAACCAGCTTAGTTAAGTCAGATTTGTGTAGCGTCCTGCTTTAATTTTATTTAAAATAGTAAAATAAAATTATATTGCATCCAAGTTGTGCCTTTTGTTAAACTCAAGCTTTAAAAAACGATTTATTTTCAACTTTCATAAGACTTCGACGTACATCCTCCACAATTCTTAGGGATTTCTGCCTAATCACAGAACGTAGAGATCTTCCGATGGACAACTTTTTCATATTTATGTTAACCCTCCATCCAAGCATTTGGTTAAATTTTACAAGTTAGCGTTATGTCTTCAATCTAATCAAAAGATAAACTGAGCATCTGATGACTTTAAATTGTAAAATTTCTGACTTTATGCTCAGTTTGTTTCTCAGTTAAATTTAAAATTTTGTTACATAACTACACGCTAATTTCATGATAATTAATTTTATCAAGCCCCTGGAATTCCATGAATAATTTTGAGACTTTAAATATTTGTCCCTAATTTTCCTTATATTTCAACATAAAAGAAGATTTTAGGATTTAAAAGAAATAATTTTATTACAATTCGATTTTAAATTATGATACTAGAATGAAAACATTTTCTGATTTAGATGAACCATAAGTTCAAAATGAAATTTGGAACTTTGAAAAATAGAATTTTCTAAAGATGAAGCATTCGATTATTTAGATTCAACTGACAGTGATTACGTAACTTAAATTGGAATAATATGATATTTTTAATGTTCGTGCCGAAAGAGCTGTTTTAAATACTGAATAGCTCGATAACAGTTTTTGAATAGAAATAATAGACAGAGTAAAGAGATACACATTTCTACCGTGTAAAACTAGAAAGCATAGCAATATAATAATCCAGGGTACGACTTCTTTAATTCACTCACAGGAGTAAAGAATTCAGCATAAAGTTTTTTCGAGAAGGAGAACAGGCTATACTTTCTGAAGAGATTAGCAATAGATCCTTCTCACTGTATTATAAATAAAAGAAGTATTATATGATTTAATTATATCCTTTACACTCATCATATAAATTTGTGAAACGAATTATCGTTGTCGCAGGCACAGTAAAGAGATGCACTGGTTTTCAGTTTGTAAAACAAAGATAAAATCGCAATTAAAACTTTATTTATTTTTCTATTTCTTAAGCTCTACAGCCGATTTCCGGCCAAGGATGTTTCGATCAACTTCTGCCATACTGACCCATCCAAAGTCACAGTCCTCCACTTAATGACACCTATTCTTTAACCACTTTTCCACATTGTCTAAGCACCTCGTTCGTGTCTTCCTCTCCTTCTCTTTCCCTCTGGCTTTTGGAATATCAGTTTGTTCACTGAGTCTTCATCTCCATATCATTATAAATGGCCTAGCCATCTTAGTTGAGAGGCTTTTATTATATTTGGTTCTCTAAATTTTTGCTGTATTTCAAAATTATATATTTTTCTCCACACCACAAAAATTCTTCTCAGAATCATTGGTTAAAATGTCATTAGTCTCCCTTCATCTGTTTTATTGTCCAGCACTTACTTTCATACAGCACTAGAGGTCTTACTAAATTTTATACAACTCTGTTTTAGTTTCACTGCTTCTGTATTTTGATTTAAACTGGTTTCGTAATCCATAATAGCATATGCTAGCCATGTTAGTTCAATTTTTGGTTTCAATAGTTATATCATCATTACTATTTACAGCTGTACCCAAATATTTAAATTAATAGACCTCCTCAAAATCATAGTAATTCATTTTCAGCGGTATCAATTTATGGCTTCTGTTTGTAACTGTCATGAACTTAGTTTTTCGTTCATTGACGATCAAACCAATATTTTTGCTGCGACTCAAGCACACAAAATGCTTCAATTATTGCCGCCTTCATTCTTCAAAGTTATGTATTACAGCTCTTAAATTTTACTGAACTCAAAATTAACAAAAACCGTTTACAAGTACTTTGCAACTTCAAATCGTCTTGCAGTTTAAAAGTATTTAAACTACAAGATGACAATCAAAACTCCAAGTCTTCATTTCTGCATTGAAGTAAACTGTGAACAGATAGATCTTCATTCATCAAAATCTCCAGAACAACAGCTAGTAAATGTGCTGCTTCAATATTGCTGAATGACTGGAGAGATC